ATATGCGTTTTTGCTGCCTGTTGCAACGCTCTAGCGCTGCACGGCAAAAACGCATAAAAACGCATAAAAAACGCATGTCAGGTTTTCTCAAAGCTTGTTGCTAATTAAATTGAGCTGTTGCTTTCCGTAATTCTGTGAATGTCGAACCTTACAGACGTGTTATTTCAGCTCTTCGTACAGGTGCTCCCTCATTTGTTCCACTCCAGTGGAACTCATCTCAGGCTGTAAGGAGCCGAGGAATAGTGATCGAATGAAAGAACTCTTTTATTTTCTAACACTTTTCCCAAACAAACAAGTTTACCGTCCTGCAAAGGCTTTTTCATAAATGCTAGTTTTTTTCTACTTATGATTTTGATAGTAGACAGATACTGAAAAAGGCATGACAGCCTTCGAGACTACTAAGCGCGATAAGCTGTAATTTATCCTTTTTAGGAGATAATAACAATTTTGGCTGCAATAATGGAGTGAAGTGATAAGATGCTAAAGGTTCTTACAACCCAGGGCAGGGTCTGAACGAGAGTTTGCTCACTCGCTTGCTCGTAAACAACGAATTAATGATCATTAAAAGTGAAAAATGTTTATTGGCAGCGATGTTTACACCTTCACTCCCCATCCCTTCCCTCCTCCACTTACCACCAAATTGATTCCGAATGGTTTGTGGATCAATCGATTAATGCCAACATCAGTACTGATGCTTGTTGCAGTTGCAAGTAATGCAGTTTTCACGTGCAAAAGTGATCTGAAACTTCTGCGCCAATCGACAAGCAAATCAGTAAAACGTAACACAAAACAATGAGATGTCACTTTTTTGCGGTATTTTTGCATTATTTTTTCCATCACTGTAATCTGTTAAATGCATCCGGCAGCACCAGGTGAAGGATACTTGAAATTTTGAAATGCTCCGTTGTTTGGTCTTAGACTGCGAACCGAAAAAAAAATTTAATTTGGTGATCGACACTACTGATGTAGGCGAAGCCTTAAATATACGGGATTCATGTCATTTCCTGTCCCGAACCTGTACCACACCAACTTGAATCTGATCCTAAGATGAAAGCTAATTAAACAACTCCAGAAAGACTACATCACAGTGAGTACACAGACAGTACTGTACCTAGAATCCAGCTCTCAAGATATTACATCTCCACGATCAATTCCTAGCACATTCTGTCCAAGATGATGGCTTCTCTGTGAGAGTGTAAAACGCGCATCAATGGGTGAGATGAAGGATAACACAAACGGTAGAGTACGATGAAAAATTTGACTTGTGCTTGCAGAAAGTAAAGGAGTATTGGAGAAACAATTGTCAGATTCACTGGCAATCTGGCTGCTAGTGCTTCATAGAGGTATCTGAGATATCCGAAACCAGCTTCTTGTAATATACGAATTTGTGTGCGAAGTGAAACTCCCGGAATTTTCTGTCGATGTGAAGTCATCAAATTGTAAAGGAACACTGTGATAAATTCACTACTATTTCTAATTACAAGTTATGCGAAAAACTGTTTTCCGTACTTTTAATTGGATTATGACTGCACGAATAAAAAAAAACCAAAACAACAATACAGAATTAGTCGCCATATTTATTGACCTAGTCACTAAAACTTTCTGCAACACATTTTTCACATTACTGCTACGGCTGAACGCCTCTTTCGATTCAATAACTAATACTTCTGGTAAAATAATAGCCGATAAAGAATCAAATAATTCGTCGCTCTTATTTGTGAAATCTTTTCAACGTCCTGTTCTCTAATCTGCTGAAAAAAAGCTTTGTTCGTGATATACTAAGTAAGCGAAGGAAATCCACAGCAGACTCAAAAAGCTAGCGAAGAAAATTTGTGGTCAAAAATGAAGAG